AACAAATGGGACCTAATGAAACTTCAAAGCTTTTGCACAGCAAAGGAAACCATAAACAAGACCAAAAGACAGCCCTCAGAATGGGAGAAAATATTTGCAAATGAATCAACTGACAAAGGATTAATCTCTAAAATTTACAGGCAGCTCATGCAGCTCAATAACAAAAAAATAAACAACCCAATCCAAAAATGGGCAGAAGACCTAAATAGACATTTCTCCAAAGAAGATATACAGACTGCCAACAAACACATGAAAGAATGCTCAACATCATTAATCATTAGAGAAATGCAAATCAAAACTACAATGAGATATCATCTCACACCAGTCAGAATGGCCATCATCAAAAAATCTAGAAACAATAAATGCTGGAGAGGGTGTGGAGAAAAGGGAACACTCTTGCACTGCTGGTGGGAATGTGAATTGGTTCAGCCACTATGGAGAACAGTATGGAGGTTCCTTAAAAAACTACAAATAGAACTACCATATGACCCAGCAATCCCACTACTAGGTATATACCCTGAGGAAACCAGAATTCAGAAAGAGTCATGTACCAAAATGTTCATTGCAGCTCTATTTACAATAGCCCGGAGATGGAAACAACCTAAGTGCCCGTCGTCGGATGAATGGATAAAGAAGATGTGGCACATATATACAATGGAATATTACTCAGCCATAAAAAGAAACGAAATTGAGCTATTTGTAATGAGGTGGATAGATCTAGAGTCTGTCATACGGAGTGAAGTAAGTCAGAAAGAGAAGGACAAATACCGTATGCTAACACATATATATGGAATTTAGGAAGAAAAGATGTTATGAAGAACCTAGGGGTAAAACAGGAATAAAGACAGAGACCTACTGGAGAACAGACTTGGGGATATGGGGAGGGGGAAGGGTGAGGTGTGTTAGGGCGAGAGAGAGACATGGACATATATATACTAACAAACGTAAGGTAGATAGCCAGTGGGAAGCAGCTGCATGGCACAGGGAAACCGGCTCGGGTCTTTGTGACTGTCTGGAGGGGTGGGGTGGGGAGGGTGGGAGGGAGGGAGACAGAGAGGGAAGAGATATGGGAACATATGTATAACTGACTCACTCTGTTGTGGAGCAGAAGCTAACACACCATTGTAAGGCAATTATACCCCAATAAAGATGTTAAAAAAAAAAAAAAAAGAGGGTTGCCAAACTTGTCAGGGTGATTTGAATAGTTACAGACCACAATAGAAGTAAAGTTTCTTCCCCCTCAGGGCTATTATTTCTTAAAAATACTGTGCATGTGTTCATTGTATGTACTAGCTAGTATGTGTTATAGTTTAATAAAGCATCTGGGGCTTTCTAGATTTTTGTAAAGGTGAGTTTGGTTTTCTATTATGATGTTGAAATTATTTTTATGAGTGAAAAGTTTAGGTACGTGAGATGTATTGAATAACAACATCAATGTACCAACTAAATCTTACCAATAAGAATATCATTCACCTTTATTTCACTAGTTAGTCAATTAGACTAAAAGACATTCAAGATAATGGAAGAGTTCCGAGCCTCAGTCACTTGGTCCATTCTTTAAATATGTTACTTATAGGCAATGTGGTCCTTTGACTTACATCCTGCTAGAGCAGTACTGGGGAACTAGGTCCATGCCATTAACAATTAAAAACCACGTGAAACACAGAATTTCCCATGTTGCTTTCTCTGTTCCTATCAAGGTCAGGCTGTCTAGAGGAGATCCACTCTGCCACCCAGTTGCTTTGAAAACTCAACATTACCTACCGATCTGATTGAGACCTACCCTCAAACAGATCTACCCAGAGTACTTAAGGCTAAACTCAAGGCAGATCTTAAGTGCTGGTAAACACAAGGCTAAGTTGTTTGGCAGCTATATTCCTGAATGGCATTTTCTTTTTCCAGCCATACCCCCATTGCGTATTTAAACTTCTCTGGTCAGATTTAGGAACCATGGAAAGTATTAATTAAACCCTAAAACACCTCAAGAGATTGAAAGCCAACACAAAGATACAGTTCCAGGGTGAAATTCGTTCTGTGTTTTGCTTACTAAGATTTTCATTTGCCTAGGCTCCCGTCTTGGCTGGAATTCTGTGGGCTCTACTGCTGCTCCATACCTCAAATGTATACCTGTCTGCACTTGCATCCAAATTAGGAAAATCCTTCTTTTTTGCCTTAACATTCTTAAAAAAAAAAAAAAAAAGTTGAGAAAAAAACTAAAGCAACAAGAAAAATTTTAAATAGTTACAAAAATGCAGAAGCAGAGACATTTCCCAAAGAAATGTTAGGTGTCTACTGACAGAGGGAAGGAAATCTCAAAGAGATGGGATGAATACACAGTTTCTGTCTGAGGGTGATAAAAAATGTTTTGGAAATAGAGGTAATGATTATACAACATTGTGAGTATAATTAATATCACTGAATTTAAAAACTACATTTAAAGATGGCTAAAATGGCAAATTTGGTGTTACACATATTTTACAACAATTAAAAGAACCCCAATATGAGAACCTACTGTATAGCACAGGGAACTTTACTTAATGCTCTGTGGTAACCTAAATGGGAAGGAAACTTTTAAAAAGAGGGGATATATGTATATGTATAACTCATTCACTTTGCTGTACAGCAGAAACTAACACAACATTGTAAAGCAAATATACTCCAATAAAAATTAATTGTAAAAACCCCCAATAATGAAATATAATCAAATACCACTAAATTGCACATTTTAAATGGGTGAGTTGTATTGAATGTGAATTCTATCTTAATAAGGCTATTTTAAAACTGTCATGGAGAGGGGCTTCCCTGGTGGCGCAGTGGTTGAGAGTCCGCCTGCCGATGCTGGGGGACACGGGTTCGTGCCCCAGTCTGGGAATATCCCACATGCCACGGAACGGCTGGGCCCGTGAGCCATGGCCGCTGAGCCTGCGCGTCCGGAGCCTGCGCTCCGCAATGGGAGAGGCCACAACAGTGAGAGGCCCGCGTACCGCAAAAAAAAAGAGAAAATTATGGAGAAAGGGAGCATAAAATCTCCTAAAAAAGAAAGATCACAAAGTGTTATAGTTCTAGTCTTGGAGTTTTCATTTTTAAGACTTTGATTTGATCTGCTTCCTCCTACCTGGTACTATCCTTCCCTGGCTGATGTCCCATCTCACTCTACGTCGAGAGGAAACCGGATGGCAAAATATTGCTGCTGTTGGAATATGAAGCTTATTTGTTTTAGCACTGCGGCTTCTAGAAATCTTGCCCTTTCCTTCTAATGTTTAAAGAATCATGCTGATCAGTGGCAGGAGTTTCTTTTGATTCTTTATTGAGATGGCGTTTTGGATAACAATAGAAATTCAGTAAGCTGAAGTAAGAAAGGTGTCTGTGATTGGTCATGTTTTTGGCCAGATTTTCCCAAATTCTGACAACACGTAGAAATGAAAATAGCTATTGACAATTGTCTTTGTTAGAGAATTCATTATGGTGTAGTTATAATCCACTTAGGAACTTTAAAAATGCTGATAACGACTTTACCTTAAGTGACAAATAGGAATCGAGGTATCTGCAAAAAAAATGTTATAGTAATTATGACTCATGGATTCCACACCATGAAATCTCACATTTCTGTAATCATTACCTTAGCCTCAAATTCATTAAAACCTATTAACAATTTTAAAATGCTTATTACCAATTTCAAAATTTTCATGTTAAACTTTTATTTTATAACCAATTCCATCAATTGCTTCTTATTTTGGAAGAGACTACAGTACAATGCTGTAGGTTGAGAGAGACACTAACTTATTTGTCATGTAACGTAAATTCAATCTTATTAGCACCATTTCTAAACTTTCTAAAAAGGATTATAACTCTGCCAATGATGCTGCCTTTGTCTTTTAGGCTGTTTGATTTTGTTGTGCAGCTTCTGTTTCCTACCTAAAAAGTCACTGATCAATATTTAATATACTAGGAGATGGAAGTAGGGGAGGACCAACAGGAAGAAGAAGGGAGAGTCATTTTATAATTCATCAAGATCAGTAATGCCACCTTATTTTATAAAAAATAAAGCCATGCTTCACAGTGATGATAGAACACTTCGGTGTTTTAATTATGGTTTTAAGTGAAAATGATTAACAGAACAAAATTTTCCCTTAGGCAGATTTTTTTTCAATTTTTAAATTTTTTCTTGAAATGACTACTGATTTTCCCCCAAATACTTAAGAATACAAAAATAAAAGGTCAAAAAGGCTTTCTTAGAACAAACTTGTTCTGTTCTTAATGATTCCTCTGGAACCATAGTCAATGAAATCATCTTGAACATAACAGGGTTTGTTCTAGGACAGACTTGCTGATTTCTCATTCCAAGACAAAGACTGAAAAATCCAAACCAAGAAATATTTCTCCCAAACAAACTCTGCACTGTTTGGATGATCCTCTTCTTAGCTGTGCTAAAATGCTTGATGGAGTTATTTTTAACTGGGAACAGAACATTCATTCTGGAAAATGTTCAGATCCCTAATTTCTTTTTTAAATTAAAAAATTTTTTTTTTTTTTTTTTTTTTTTTTTGTGGTACGCGGGCCTCTCACTGTCGTGGCCTCTCCCGTTGTGGAGCACAGGCTCTGGACGTGCAGGCTCAGAGGCCGTGGCTCACGGGCCCAGCCGCTCGGCGGCATGTGGGATCTTCCCGGACTGGGGCACGAACCTGTGTCCCCTGCATCGGCAGGCGGACTCTCAACCACTGCGCCACAAGGGAAGCCCCAGATCCCTAATTTTATAATGAGCAGAAATACATACTTTTGATGAAAGACTATGTAAACTACAGTACTCTGTCGACACTCAGGTGCAAAATAAACAGACAATACATTTTATGGTTTTTAGGAATGAAGGTGAGGTCTTAAATCTGGATCACTTGTATCAATGTGGGAAGAAATGGGGTGCTGGACATCATCTAGATAGAGTTTGTTTCTTTGCTCAGGCACAATATTTCCTCACGAATAATGAGCCTGGGTCATGCCAAATGGATTCTATGGTTTTTATTGATTGTTATTACTTTTATTAAACAATGTTAGCCATGTAGCATCATTAAAAAACAACTAATACTCTTGGAATATGTACATTCTATTAACTGATATGTCAATCCTATTAACTGATACAAATCAATCCAGTCTTTCATTATAGCAGTCAATATTCAGGTTGCACAAAGATAAGTAATTTATATTCCAAACACAACAATCACCTCTGGGTTAGTCATCCAGTACAATTCACAGAGTCCTATTATATGGCTGCATGTACTTAGAAAGTTTTAGCACAGAGCCAGTACAAACAGGGAAGTACCCTCATTCTAATGGTTACTGAGGTGCTAGAGGTGGGTGTCAGCGATGGGGATCCTTCTGAGTTCTACGATCTGGGAGTCAGTCAAGGTGCCTCCCTCCTGGCTGCCTTGACCAGATTCATTATCACTGACACTGATACCAGCACCTGCAATAGAAAAAGAATAAACACAAAACTCCCAACTATTAGTCCAGCAAATTAATGGTCAAGTTACAGTAAGTCAACACACGTTTATTTCTATTATATTAGTAAAAAGTGAGCTATACATTTAGAATAAATATTATTAATACCTAGCAATTATAAAACTGTATTTTAAATTCCTTTTGGTAGTTTTTATAAGTACAAATTAATTTCTAAAGACATGAATTTGGCTTCTCAATCTTTTTATCTGTTTCTACATGGTTGACAGGTATAACTTACTCCAAAGAACAGCATTTCTTAATTGAGGGCTTACTAAAACAAAAAAGATCAGACAAGTTATTGGAATTTTTCAGCAGGGGGGTAGGATTTGCTGTTAGAAAACGTATAACCTCCAACCCCACATGTACCAAACCTAGTAGGTCCTTCAGCTGAGACTCAGTGTGGCAGGGATCCGAGAAGAAAACTGTGCATTGACAACACCTGGTATCATATCAGTGCCCAGAAGACACTGGCTCTCAATGACTCAGATCTGCTCCCAAGATAAAAATAATTATGTAACACAGTGCCAGAAGAGATCCGCACAAGAATCCCACAAAGCTAGCTGTTAACTGGAGATAGCGCCTGGAATCTCTGTTTTGAGGACGCTCCACTGTTTACTACTTTTTTCACAACTCAGAATAATTCAGAAAACTTGACACTATGTTAGACTAACACCTTGTTGTTTTCTTCTGTAATGTGCAGAGGAACACATAAACACACACACACACTCTCTCTCTCTCTCTCTCATGCACGCACACACACACACACACACACACACACACACACACACACAGACTAGGGATGTGGTCACAGGGTGTGCTGTTGGCTGAATCACCAGAGATTACAGTTCCCAGCCCCACCCCCTCTGCTGGACACAAGACTGCAAACAAGAAGGGAAGTGAAAAACCAGTTGCCTGGGCAGCTGAGACTTCCCTATCTGTCTGAGATGTAGGAAAGGCAATTCTGCAGTTAGTAGCTATGGGAAGATAGTGGATTAGCTTCTTCTCAACCTATTCGGAGATGGAAGCAGGAGCCCACTAATGACCTCTTTCTAGCCAAAACCTCCCTCTTTTGGGTCTCTGTCCTTCCCACCCTCTCTCTGTTAAAGGCTGCTGTTGAAACCCCACTTCCTGGCTTTGTTTCTCTGACACTGCACTGGCCCATCTCATCCACTGACCTGTTGACTCTTTCTTTCTTTCCTTTTCTTAAATAAATTTATTTATTTATTTTTGGTTGCACTGAGTCTTCGTTGCTGCGCACAAGCTTCCTCTAGTTGCGGCGAGTCGGGGCTACTCTTCCTTGCAGTGCTCGGGCTTCGCATTGCAGTGCCTTCTCTTGTTGTGGACCACAGGCTCTAGGCATGTGGGCTTCAGTAGTTGTGGCATGTGGGCTCAGTAGTTGTGGCTCGCGGGCTGTAGAGCACAGGCTCAGTAGTTGTGGCTCGTGGGCTCTAGAGTGCAGGCTCAGTAGTTATGGCACATGGGTTTAGCTGCTCCGCGGCATGTGGAATCTTCGCGGACCAGGGCTTGAACCCGTGTCCCCTACATTGGCAGGTGGATTCTTAACCACTGTGCCACCAGGGAAGTCCCCTGTTGACCCTTTCCAAAGCTATTCTGCTTTCTTTTGCATCTCCTCCTGCTGTCTGACCTCTGGAGGGCTTGTCTTCAGCCCAGCTTCAAGGCACGATCCACCTGATTCTTGCCTGCTCTCTAGCCTAATGTCTCACTAGAGCTGCTGGTCACTCCCTTTCCCCACCGTGTTATTATTCAAGCATTTCTGCCTAGGATGCTCTTTC